CAATACTTCTGTATTCTTACACGGAGTCCGATCTCGACCCGATCGGCTAGGTCGTCCCATTTGAGACATCAACCATAACCACAATTTCAATTACCATTTTTAGCATAGTCACCACCATGTGTGCGGCATGGCGTCCGATCACGACACGATCGGCTAGGCTGTCTCACCCAAGACATTACCTTTTTCAGTCAATCATCTCACATCATACTTCATTCTTATTCATTCGATTCATTGGCACTAGTGATCACGATTAAAAAGTCATTCTTGGCACTTAGCCGTATTTCATAGTTCTTGTTCCCTTTTCCACATTCAAATATCATTATCATTATCAACAACAATAGGGCTTCCCATTCAAGTCATTAAATTCACATATGAGCAATTTGGGAATCTTAGGCACATAGATGCTTTTCATTTAATTTGGCATGACAATCTTTATTTCGATATTAACATGAAGTCTTAACATTTCTAACATATATTCCACATTTTGAACACATCCTCAAATGACAAGATGACATGATGAAGCATTTGGAATAAGTATTGAACATACATCCTTCAACACAACCACATTAGGAATAGCCAATTCAATAATGATCAAGGACTTACTCCAATTACATGAACACCATGGGATTCGATTCTAAGAAGAAAGGGGTTTAGCCAACACACCTCAATTGAGCTTCCTTAAACTTTACAACGTTCCGGAATTCTTAGCAACTTCGATCTATTTTAGAAATATAACAAGTTGGACTAAAATTAGGAAGATTATCATGATTCTAGCTCATTTGAGCACATTATCAAACACTAAGTGGGCATTAATGTTTTAAGGCCCTTTTTTGTGGATGATTCCACCATTCCCCAACCCATTCTCTACCATTTTTAGCTCACAACCTTTCCACATACTTCAAGGATACATGCATGCAAGACAACAAACCCCACACCCAAGAATTGTCTTTCTAATTATCCCCCATTTTAGAAGATTTTCGAAATTAAGAGCTAGGCATAGATTCTTACATTTAGGATGAAGACCTAGGGTGCTTCTCTTAATAATCTTCAAAAGTTTATGCAAGAATTGAAGAGTAACGTGATGAAGATCACTTTCTCCCTCTAGGACTCTCTCTCTCACTCTAAAGTATCAGGTTTTGCTCAAAAATGGCCCCTTACATCTATTTTAACGAAGTAGGGTCGGTTTTTAAAAAACCAAAATGAAGCTCCAGAATAGGTTCTGTGGTCGCATATGCGACCGCATAATGGTTATGCGGTTCGCAAAATGACAGCAAAATTGGGATGCCAAAACAAGAAAGGAACTGACCAGGTCTGCGGTCACTATGCGGCTCGCAGACCTGTTCTGCGGTCACATAATGTACCACAGAACGGTTCTGCGGTCGCATAGTGCACCGCAGAACCTCCCTCTGAAAAATCCCAAAGTGGGATACACGACAAGAGTGCGGTCCATGAAACGGTTATGTGGTCGCATAATTGGCCGTGAAATTGACTTCAAAATTGGCCAAAATGACTGCTTCACTTTGCGGCCATTATGCGGCCCGCAGAGTGATTATGCGGCATCATAATGGGCCGCAGAAATGCCTACTTCTGCAAAAATATTTCCTTCAACTCCACAGCGTACTGTTCAATCCAAAGAGTCCGAACCGCGGTGAGCTACTATTATTAACCTCTACGCCTACTTCCGCATCACGGAATCCCGGTTTTTAGGAAAACTTTTACGGGACCTTACACAGGATCAATTAAAACCAAGTAAGACATGGTGTATAAAATCAAAATGGCATAGATAATGCTAATTTTGCTCGCATGCTTAACCCATTGCAAGCACATACATTCATCACCTTGCACATGCGCCACCCCAAACGTATATAACACATAACAATTAGATAAAATTACATCCCAATTCATCCAAATCATGTTTAACCAAGACACTTACCTCTTTCCGGCACAGTTAAACCCTCTAAAATAGCCCTTCCTTTAGAAACCACCTCCAATCGGCTTAAAATTAGACAAAAATAACTCAAAATCATCAAATAATATTGTAGGAATCAATTTCAAATAATAAAGTCCCAATCTTTACCCAATTCTCAAAAGTCAACCCCGAGCCCACAAGGTCAAAACCTGAGCCAAGGTGTAGATCCGACTATCCATAACCCTACGAGTCTAAATGTGTTATTAGTTTCAAAATTAAGTCCAAATCAACTTTCAAATCCCTAATTTTTATTTTTCAAAACATAGTCAAAACCCCCCTAATTTCTTTTCCAAATTCCATGATTTAGATGTAAAAATGCATGGGAAATCAAGATATAGTATCAAGTGAAAATCACTTATCCTTGTGCATTGTGTGAATATCCTCTTCAAAAATTGCCCCTCTCCAAGAATAGGGTTCATAATATGAGAAAATGGGTCTATGTCCCAAAATCCCTTCTAAATAATAAGCTGCGAAAGTCACAATTGCGACCAGGGATTCGCAATTGCGAGCCTAGCAAATGCGAACTAGATCCCTCCACCTAAAATATCGCAATAGCGACCAGGAGGCTCGCAAATGCGACCAAGTGTGGCAAATATGAACTGCCTTTCGCAATTGCGGATGTCGCATTTGTGACACCAGCTTCGCAAATGCGAAATTGACCTTCACTTCCTAACATCGCAAATGTGATCCTCACTCCGCAAATGCGAGGTGTCACAAATATGAGCAGACCATCGCAATTGTGAGGTCTGCAGCACCAACAAAAGTCTGAACCTTCTCCAAACTAATTTGAAACCAATCCGAAACTAGCCCCTCGGGCCCCATACCAAACATCCACACAGGGTTATTAACCTCAAATAAACTCGCTCACATGCTCAAAACATAAAAATAACATCCATAATCACGAATCAAATACCAAAACTCCTCATGCAACCCTTCAAATTCAAGAACATATATTCACAACCACGCATCTAATTCCTATCAAACCATCTCAGAATGAGGCAAATCATTGCACACAAGTTTTAAATGATAAAATAGACCTATTCCAACCCCCAAAACGACAACCCAAATCCGATAGCCTCAATGTAACCTCATGGTCATACTTAGGAAATTTCTAAACCTTCAAATTGCGGCTTTCAGCAAAAAGAGCCAAATAATCCTAGAAATCTCTAAATCCAAATCACGGACATACGCCTAAGTCTAAAATTACCATATGAGCCTATTGGAACCGGCAAAATTCAAATTCGAGGTTGTTTACAAAAAAGTCAAACCTTGGTCAACTCTTATAACTTAAGCTTCTAAAAATGGAACTAAGTGTTCCAATTCGCTCTTAAACCTCCCCAGAACCAAACCATCCATCCCCGTAAGACATAAAAATAAACTGAACATACAAGAATCATCCAATAGGGAAATGGAGCTCAAATACACAAAATGACCGGTTGGGTCATTACATTCTCCCACTCAAAAACAAACATTTATGCTCGAACGAGTTTAGAGTCATACCTGAAGTGCCAAAAGAGGGGGTATCTGGTCCGCATATTATGCTCGATCTCCCAACTTGCCTCGGATCCACGTCCAATCCGCACTCAATAGTGAGTGGAAGCGGTTGCTAGAAGAATAGTACTCAACAAGAGTCGGGGTCGATTTCCATAGGGAGTTTAATATGGGTGTTAATACACTTGATGAAAGCAAATGGAACAACTAGATTGCACATCCAAACAAAGGTTTTTATTTCTAATTCTAATTTTATTCTAACAATTATAAGCTGAGAGAAGAAACTAGAAAGCGAATGATTATTTTTGGTATATTTCCGAATAGTTAAAAAGCCTAGGGATATGACCTTAACCTAGGTGTTCACCTAATGGGTTAAATAGGTTAATATTTGTTTTGTTGATTGGCGTGTATATAGCTCTCAACTCTACGTTACCCACTCAATACCTCTTGGTCATAGAGTGATTTTGCCCAATTTGGCTTTCTCAAGCCCAAATGTTTATCGAGCTAAATAGTTGATATGAGCTCAAGTCGGGTTCTCACTATCTCTAGTTTTAACCCTTTAATTAGGCTAATCAAACTCTTAATTAGCCCAATTTCTTGTTAGTCAAGTTTTTCTAAACTAGGTCTCTCTTTCTCAATCAAATACCAAGTCAAATAGGCATGAATCATTATTTGCGACCATTAATTCTAAAATTAAAGCATAAACTAGGCTAAATAATCAACACCAAATCATAAACATGCATTAAATTAAATACCCATAAGGTTTACACACTAGGGTTGGGTCACAACCCTAGTAAGAATCTAGCTACTCATAGTGAGAAATGAAGAAAACAAAGAAGAAATACTAATTAAACTCATAATCTAAGATTAAAATGATAAAATGTGATTCGTAAAGCCTAAAATAGTCACAAACTTCCTAAAATAGCAAAATACAACGACTACAGCAACTCAAACTTCGAAACTTGACCTAAAAATATGATTCTCTCCTATTTATAGTGGCCTAAAATTCGCTGACAAAAATGCCCTTTGGGAGGTTCTGCGGCAGCACAATTCCATGTGCGATCCGCAGATTGCTTCAGCTTGCATGGACTTGCAATCTGCAGCCGCACAATTTGATCTACAGTTGCAATGTAGCTTCTACGGCCGCACAATTCTTGTGCGGTCCGCACTTCAGGCAAGGCTTCAAGTCTCGGTCATTTGCACACTCTTTGAACTTTGAAGTCTTTATCAGTGCAGACCTTGTTTTACGGCCACACAATTTATGTGCGGTTCGCACATTAGCTAAAACTCTGTTAGGCTTCTTCACTTGTTCTGCGGCCGCAGAGGGAATTCTGCTGTCCGCACTTTCTTCTGCGGACCGCACATCTTATGTTATACGCCCCTTCTTGCCTTGTTAGTCGGAATACTCCTTTTTGAGTCGGATTTCATCATGGGAGCCCAAGCTTCCTACATTCCTGCAATTTGCACACTTTCATTAGTTTTGGGAACATAAATCAATACTTTTGGACTAAAACAAAAGCAAAAATGAGCTAATAAGTGGTCAAAATCCGCACTTATCAGCCTCATCGACTGGTTGACATCTCCACTGAACCTTTATTGATGCAATAACTTTAGATCTGAGCTTCCGAACCTGCCTATCCAAAATGGCCACAGGCTCCTCCTCGTAAGCTAGATTCTCATCCAACTGAACTGTGTTGAGGTCCAAAAGATGGGACTTATCTTCATGATACTTTGAAAGCATAGAAATATGTAACACCGGATGAACTCCTGAAAGAATAGGAGGCAAAGCAAGTCTATAAGCAACTTTGCCGACCTTCTCTAACACCTCAAACGGGCTAGTAAACCACGGGCTCCATTTTCCCCTCTTTCCTAACATCATCACTTCCTTCATGGGTGAAACTCTAAGAAGAACTTTCTCGCCCTCCATGAAAGCCACATCAAGAACCTTCTGGTCCGCATAACGCTTCTTTTTATATTGAGTTGTGCGAAGCCCCTCCTGAATCAACTTCACCTTCTCCAAAGCATCACGAACTAAATTTGTGCCCAACAATATAGCCTCCCCAGGATCAAACCAACCAACTGGAGAACGACATTGACTCCCATATAAGGCCTAATACGAAGCCATATGGATACTTGACTAATAGTTCTTGCTGCAGTAAAACTCTGCTAGAGGTAGAAACTAGTCCCACTAACCTTTGAAATCAACAGTTATTGCCTTCAACATATCCTCCAAGATCTAAATGGTCCGCTCAGACTGCCCATCCATCTGAGGTGAAATACAGTACTAAACTCAACCTTCATGCCCAACTCACGCTGAACCGTGCTCCAAAAGTGCAAAGTAAACTGAGTGCCACAGTCTGAGATGATAGAAACAGGTACACCATGCAGGTGAACAATCTCCCTGATGTAGATCCTAGCCAACAGCTCCGAAGTGTAGGAAGCCATGACCGGAATGAAATGTGCCGACTTGGTCATTCGATCCACAATAACTCAAATGGCATCACACTTCCTCAAGGTCCATGGTAAGCCTACCCTGAAATCTATAGTGATGTGCTCCTACTTCCACTCTGGTATATCAATTATCTGAAGCAAACCACCCGATTTTTGATGCTCATATTTGACCTGTTGGCAATTCAAAAACACCGAGAGACATGTCCAACAATGTCTTTCTTCATCTTCTACCACCAATAATGTTGATTCAAGTCATGATACATCTTCGTGATACCTCGGTCAATAGAATATTTTGATCTACGAGACTCCTCAAGGATAAAATCTCTCACTCAACCAATCCACATTCGCAATACAAATCCGACCCTGAAGCCGCATAGCACCATCATCCCCAATCACCACCCCGCTGCACTGTGTCTTTGAATACCAACAAGTGAGGATCACCAAACTAGCGAGCCTTATTGCACTCTAACAAAGATGAATGCGCCACAACACAAGCAAGAACCCAGCTAGGCTCTGTAATATCAAACCTTACGAACCTGTTAGCGTAGGCCTGAACATCCATAGTCAATGGCCTCTCCACTGTTGGTATAAATGCCAAACTACCCATGCTCTCTGCCTTCCTATTCAGGGAATTGGTAACCATATTAGCCTTGCCCGGATGATACAATATTATGATATCATAGTCTTTCAACAAATCTAACCATCTTTGCTACCTCAAGTTCAGATCGTTTTGCTTGAATAGATGCTAGAGACTCCAATAATTGGTGTAGACCTCACATGACACACCGTATAAGCATTGCATCCAAATCCTGAACGCGTGCACAATAGCTGCCAACTCCAAATCATGTGCGGGATAGTTCTTCTCATGGACCTTCAATTGATGAGATGTGTAGGCAATCACCCTATCATCCTACATCAATGCCGCGCCAAGCCCAATACGTGATGCATCACAATATATAGCATAGGACCCCAAACCTATGGGCAACACCAACACTGTGGATGTCATAAAGGCAGTCTTCAGCTTCTAAAAGTTGTCCTCACACTCATCAGACCATCTGAAAAGAGTGTCCTTTTGAGTCAACTTTGTCTATGGGACTGCTATGGATGAAAACGCCTCCACAAAATGAAGGTAGTAGCTTGCCAAACACAAGAACCTCCGAATCTCTATAGCTGTAGTAGGTCGTGTCCAACTCTGAGTGCCTCAAACGTTTTAGGATCCACCTTGATACCATCACTAGACACAACATGGCCCAAGAAGGCAACTGAGTCCAACCAGAACTCACATTTCAAAAACTTGTCATAAAGCTGACAATCCTTCAAGGTCTGGAGTACAATTTGCATGTGCTTCTCATACTCCTCTCTACTACGAGAGTAGACCAGAATATCTTCAATGAATACAATCACAAAGGAATCCAACTAAGGCTTGAACACTCGGTTCATCAAATCCACAAAAGCTGCTAGGGCATTAGTCAGTCCAAATGATATCACCAAGAACTCGTAATGACCATAACCGGTCCTAAAAGCAGTCTTAGGGACATTCGATGCCCTAATATTCGCTGATGATAGCCCGATCTCCAGTCAATCTTGGAAAACACCTTGGCACCCTGAAGCTAGTCAAACTAATCATCAATCCTATGCAACACATACGTATTCTTGATGGTAACCTTGTTCAACTGCCGATAATGAATGCACATCCTTGTCGATCCGTCCTTCTTCTTAACAAACAACACCGATGCACCCCAACGTGAAACACTCGATCTAATGAATTCCTTATCAAGCAAATCCTTCAACTGTTCTTCCAGTTCCATTAACTCGGTTGGACCCATACTGTATGGTAGAATAGAAATAGGATGAGTGTCCGAAACCAAATCAATGCAAAAGTCAATATCTCTGTCGGGTGGCATGCTCGACAAATCTGCAAAAAATACCTCTGGAAACTCTCTCACCACCAAAACTGAATCTATAGAAGAAAACTCCACATTAGAATCCTAGATGTAAGCCAAATACGCTAAACACCCCTTCTCAACCATACGTCAGGCCTGCAAATATGAAACTACCCTACTAGTGGAATGAACTAGGGTCCCTCTACACTCTAATCTAGGCAACCCCAGCATAGCTAAAGTCATAGTCTTGACATGACAATCAAATATAGCGTGATACGGGGACAACCAGTCCATGCCAAGAATAACGTCAAAATCCACCATATCCAATAACAAAAGATCAACTATAGTATCAAAACCATTAATAGTAACCATACAAGACCGATACACTCAATCGACCACTATAGAATCCCCAACCGGAGTGGACACAGAAACAGGAACATCAAGAGAATCACGAGGCATACTCAAGTATGATGCAAAATATAAAGTCATATAAGAATATGTAGAACTTGGATCAAACAACATCGAAGCATCTCTATGACAGACTAAGATAATACTTGTAATAAATGCATCAAACGACTTCGCCGCGGGCTGACCTAGAAATGCATAACAACAGGGTTCAGCCCCACTAACCTGTCCTCCACCTCTAGGATGACCTCTCACTGATTGGCTTCCACCTCTAACTGGTTGGCCTACACCTCCGGCTAACTGACCCTCGCCCCTAGCTGGCCAAGGAGGTGGTGTAGCAACCGAATCCGAAATCCTGGCATGAGTACCCTACTGTGGAATACTACTCTGCAACCTGGGCCAAAACCTCTTGATATGGCCCGTGTCACCACACTCATAACAATCAGCTTGAGGATGTGGCTACTGAGTTCAAAGTGTTCCCTAATGACCGAAATAACTACCGTAGAAACTCTGCACCGAAGGTGCCCTTATGGGAGTTGGAGATGCATTGTATGCTAGCTGCTCAGCACGAGGCCTATAAGACATGTAGTTTCCTGATATACCATGTGTGACCTATAGTGTTGACTGTACCGGCCTGATCGAATGGCCCCTACCAAAGGAACACCTACCTATAGATGAGGCACCACTGAATCCTCCAAAATAACGAGGCCTCTTGTCAGAGGTCATCTCTCTCGCCTGGCCTCTAATGAGCTCAATCATCTTGGCAATCTCCACTACCTAATTGAAGGATATCTCAGTCTTGGCCTCTTTGGCCATCTGAAATCTAATTCCATGGTAGGACCCTCTATTAACCTCTGCACCTTCTCCCTCTTAGTAGGGATCAAGAAAGTTGTATGGTGAGAAAAATCAATAAATCTAGTCTCATACTGAGTAATGATCATGCTACCCTGCTAGAATCGCTCGAACTGGCTGCGCAGCTCATCCCTCTGAGCGAGGAGAATAAACTTCTTCTAGGAACAACTGCGAAATCTGAGCCCATGTGAGAGAAGGTGATCCTGTAGGCCTGCCCAGCTTATAAACATGCCACCACCTCTTGGCGGAACCATGCATATGAAAGACGGTGAAATCCACTCCATTGGACTCAACCAGTCCTAATTGTCGCAAAATCTCATGGAAATGGTCCAAGAAATCTTGGGCATCCTCTGAAGGTGCACCGCTAAAGTGAGGGCGAAACAACTTGGTGATCCTATCCAACCTCTTCAGATCATCATCTAACATCGCGATCCTTCCCCAGGCTGTGCGGCAATAATAGGCCGAACCACCCCAACTGGTAGAACTCTCGGGGTATAATAACTATGGGCCATATGCTATGGGATATGAGTAGCGAGAGTCTGAACTTCTCCCCCGACCTAAGAACCGGCTGGTGCCATGGGAAACAATCCGGCCTAAGCCATACTCTCCATGAAGCCAACCATGCAAACTAAGGCATCCTAAAGCACTAGGCAGCTATGAACCCCTCTGGGACCTGAGTTGGTCCTACCGGCTGGACCCGAACTGGTACCTCACCCTTCGAAGCCAACTAAGTCTTGACTGTGGGTGCCGCTATGTGTTACACCCTATGTTTTCGTACATAAAAGTATGCCATAAGTAAATTGATGAAAGCTCGGAAATAAGACATTACATCCCGCATTTTTGGTACGTTAAAGTTTCATCGTAAGTTAATCAACGTAAGTTCGGGAATGAGATTATTCTAAGATTATAAGCATTATGCTAATTGAAACAAGTGATGAGTAAATTCGTGAAGGTGAGAGGGTAAGCAAATCGAAGAAAATGATTTTCGTCGAAGTTTGATATTTTGAGATAAAATACGGCCCGTGCTAAAATACCCGGTATTTATGGACTAATACCATACAAGGTACCACATGGCCATGATAGTAAAGTGTATAAGGTTTGTTAAAAGTGAATAGTATTTTAAGTAAGTAGAGATAATTCTTAATTATGTGGGTAATTGGTTAATTATAGGGTAATGGGATATTACCTAAATTATTGGATAAAGGTTAAAATTCCCCAACGTGGCAGCCCACCCTTCAAACTAATGACTCTTAACTCAAATTGAAAGGTGGAAAATTAATGTTATGTGGCTAAGCCACCACATGAAGTGGGCCCACACCTATTCAAACACATTTCTTCATTACGTGTTGCAACATACTTAGAAATTGTGACCATTTTGCTTAATTTTGTCTTTCAGATTTTCAAGTGATCCAAATATAGTGCTCTTTGCATTACAAAGACATATTAGAATATATCAAAAAAACACATAACATCTTCCTACTACAATACCAAATTACACACGATGGAGCACTTGGTAGGCATCTGGTTTATGCTATTGTTGTGATTGAATTTGGTCGTTCCCTAGTTCGATCTCGCCGTTACATATTTCGTCGCAAAAAACAGTATTAAAGGGATTGTCAAGAGAATCGGTTCAGGTATGTTAAGGCTATCCCTTCTTTCCTTTTGGCGGGATCTAAATAATACAAATGAAACGAGCAAAATACGCAACTTTAATAAATGACTCTATTCATAGAAATACTAGAGGTGTCTATATTCTTGATTCCCCATGTGAATTATTATTATATCTTCTATTCATGGGTCTCAGAAAAATACGTATTTGATAAAAGTTATCTGAAAACCATATTGATTTTTATGACATTCCGAGAAATCTTATTAACGTAATTCTTATGCATTTCATGCATTTATACATGTACATTGACCCATTACTAGATGGCGTTATATACGTGTATATTATATATATATGGGATATGGGAAAAGGTTATGGCGTTATATACGCACCGCCACCTGATCAGCTAATACACGTTAATGATTTACCCACAGTGGTCGAAATGATATGATGAGATGCCCTCGGAGGCTTGATGATGTTATGAACGCATATACCTATGCATGATATGACTTTTATACGCATATGCATGACATTATAAAAATAAAATGATTCACAGAGCTATGCAGACGTACATGTCAAGTCGTTTACTCCATGTTTCTCTGATGTCTATTATTTACTAATTTTCATTCCTTACATACTCGGTACATTATTTGTACAGACGTCCCTTTTGCCTGGGGACGTTGTGTTTCATGCTCACAGGTCTCGATAGACAGGTCGGGAGTCCTCCAAGTAGGTGATCAGCTCAGCGGAAGATGTTAGTGCACTCCATTTGCTCCGGAGTTGATTGTTTGGTCAGTATGATTTAGATGTGTATTGTTTGGTATGGTGGGGCTCTATCCCGACCTTTATGACAATTATGTATTCTTAGAGGCTTGTAGACAGATGTCATGTATATGAAAGGTTGTATGGCCTTATCAGCCTATGTTCAGTGTACGAGTGATCATTTTGGTTTTTATGGGCCAGTATGTCATATTTATAAGTTTATTCCCTCATGCTTTACTCCGGTTCATTTACCTATGATGGAATGATACGAAAGATACGTTATGTTGGTACTCAGTTGAGTAACGTAGCGGGTGCCCGTCGCGGCCCATCGGTTTGGGTCGTGACACTATGTGTGCTTTAGGTTGAGCTCTATCTCTGCCTCTCCCCTTGCCCCGGTCCCTACCCTTGGTAGGGGCTGCAATCTGGGGCTCTACCTCCTGATCAGCAGACGAAGCATGCGTCCTCACCATCTGTAAGAGAATAACAGAAGAAAGATTCAAACTTCAAGATAGAATAAAGTCGTACGATAGAGAAAGAAATAAAGTGAAGTTTCCTAAAGCCTTATAGCCTCTAAAAGATAAGTACAAACGTCTCTGTACCGATCCACAAGACTCTACTAAGATTGCTCAAGACTCGTGAGACCTATGCAACCTAGAGCTCTGATACCAACTTGTCACAACCCAAAATCCCAATACAAGGGGTCATGATTGCACCTAACACCGCTTGCTAGGCAAGACAACACATAACAATAAATAAGAGAGAAAGGAAACTAATGATTTACAGCATTTTTTATATCATAGAATAAAGATAACTCTAAATATATAATACGAGTCTAAAATCAAACAACGCCGGTCAACTAGAGTCACGAGTACATGAGCTACTACAATTTACTACATATAATATGGGAAAGAAATACAATACTGTTTGGTGAGAAAAGAAACAGTACAAAAGAAGTGGGAAGATGACTCTAAGGCTTGCGAATGGTATGCAACACTACCTTGAGTCACCTCTCTGATGCTAAGCACCTCTCGAGACTCCGCCGGTACCAATATCTAAAATCTGCACAAGAAATCTAGAATTATAGTATGAGTACAACTGATCTAATGTACTCCATAAGTGTCGAGCCTAACCCCAACAAGGTAGTACCTGGCTATGACAAGATACCTACATATGAACCTATGCAGTTAAGTGACCACAAATAATGAAAAACCAAATAGCAAGTAAGATAACAGGATAACGACATGTGAGAGAGTTAACAAGTCCATAAATAAGGAGATATAGAATGAGAAAGTAAAGGAAGCTACAAATAGAGTAAACCACAACATATGCCTCCACAACCAACTCCAAACAACCTTTCAAAATAACCGAGAATAACATAGACAAGTCCTTTGATCGTATAGTAAAAAAAGAATTTTTTTTTAATTTTTTCAAAACGTAGTGAAAAAAAACCCAAAAGTTCTCTTCCGAATTCCATGATTTAGGAGTAAAATTCCATGAGAAATCAAGATATAATATCAAAATTAAGTGAAAATCACTTACCCTCTTGCCTTGTGTAAATATCCTTTTCAACAATTGCCCCTTTCCATGTTTGGGATTCAAAATATAAGAAAATGGGTCTAAGTCCCGAAATCCCATCTAAATAATAAGCTGCAGAAGTCACAATTGCGACTAGGTGTTCGCACAGGCAAGCCTAGAA